ATGCAGTGGACACTGATTGGACCTTCAGAGAGTATAGAATCATTATCGTCGCATTAATATGCGAGATAGGGAATAGAGAATTCTACTGCCGCAATTCAGACATGTTTTTTTTTATAAGGAGTATGCCGGTGAAGAAATCAGCAGTCACTACAGTCGCGGCGTAATCTTGATTTTCTTCCTGTTAAATTACGCGTAAACTGAACGGCCCCACCCCGTCTTCCTTCAATTTACCTTTCGGTTCGCCAAATATTAACACAAGATCGACGCGCGGGAACCGGCTACCGTTTCGCAAGCTCGGAAACAAAGGGGCGAGACCCTTTTAGAGTGCTCCCCGCAAAGGGTGCCGGGTTTCAGGAAAATAGGCGGTCGGCGGTCGAGGGGCAACTCCGGTTTCTTCGCGACTTCGCCTCTGAACCCTTGCCGCGTGTCCATTAAAGCCGATCCGGGGCGTCACGTACATCCTTAATCTGAATTCCGTCCGGGAACGTGGCATAATTTCGCGAAACGGCGAACGGTACCGTAACCGAAGGTTAGGACCAGCGCGAAAAGATGTATCGCGGGCAAATGTAAAAAGATGGAAAGTCCCCTTGAGGGCTTCCGCGTCCGCGTGACGGTAATTCCGCAGTGTGAGCGGGGGAGATTCCGGGCCCCTTTACAACATATGATGCCTCGGTTGATGGGAGCGTTACATATTTCCTGCGGATAAAACGCGCGTCTTCGCGAGTCTCATAAATATCTACTGATATGGGGAAAACGTAACGCAATGCGGCGAAATCACGGGCGCTTCTTACGTAAGACGCGTCACCATGAATAAATGAGTCCGCCACGCATTATTCAACGTAACAGTTTAATAAGTTAGAGATGAAAAAGTACCGAGATCTAGGGATCGCACACAAGTATAATATTTCGTAACCTATTTCATAGACGTATCGAGCGCGAAATAATTTTGTAACTTAGAGATATCTTTTTTTAACTGTCCGATTTGATTTACTAATCCATTGGTTGAAATTAGCGTAGCATTTGACATCGATCTCTTTTTCTAAATTTCGAAATTTTTGTTCATTTCCATCTTCTCTACCCCTTCTCCTTCTCTCTCGTTTAGAATATGCTCGTTTAGAACATGCTTGTTTCTTGTTTACGTCTGTGGCTCTACCGATCTTTGAGCGCTCCATTTGCGGGCGCAATTCCCGTCGAAACCGGAGAATAAATCAATCAGACGAAATGTAATACGAGGATGCACCCGGCTTTCTGGTGTGCTTGCTCTCTCTGAAGATTTATTCCTTTCCTTCCGGTGCAATATACGTTTCCAGCCGCACCTCTACGTCGCGATATTTTCAAGAAAAATGTGAAGTTCCTCTGAAATTATTCATCCTTATTTGTCCACGAATATTCTACGTTTTATATAAAATAATAGTCGTGTTTGTAATGAAAGCACAGGTGAAAGCGTTTGCTGGATGCTGGAACGATCTTTCGTGTACCAAAATTACGTCGGATTGCAGCTCGAACTGTAAAATGCAAGATGGAATTTCGTTGAAATGTGCGGGGAATTTGGCGCGAACATAAAAGCGTTTTCTTTGTAAAATATTTCGACGAAGGGTCTGCCCTAAATAGTTTATACCCGCTGAAATTGCGGAGACGGGGCTGGTCCGTCGACGAGAAGAGTGAAATCGCCGGTCCGTTAACGTATAACGACGCGCCTCGTTACGACATTTTTTAATTTACTTGCTTATGGCGACTTAGTGCTCAGCGGAACGTAATTTACTTGGAGAAGGCACTAATCCCTCGACAATGGACGACCATAAATTACTGTTTCCTCTTCTACCTCAAATCTACCTCTTCTGCCCAATTGGGAAAAATATCGCGTAGTGAAACGCGGAGATTAGTTTCGGTGTATAAACTGAAATTAAAATCGCAGTCTTTTCTCGTTCTGTACTGCAGATATAAATACGTTATAACGCGTAAACATTTATAAGTCGATATATTAAAACACGTTTCGTTTGTTTCCCAGAATGTATTTTTTTCTGCTTTTTAAAATTCACATATAAAAATTGAAGTTTCACGCAATAGAGATGTGAGTAAAAAAACTACGTGTCGAGAAAAATGACAGTACACAAATTACAAAAATAAAAAGTCGTACTATAAAAATTCGTGTCGGTTTTCTGTTTTCTTTAACATATTATTGCAAAAAGTGTAAGAAAAAACATTTGTTTAATGATACTCACATCCCTATTGCGTGACAGTGGTTTTGAGGAAAAAATTAAAATACATCATTTATGCCACTTTAAAGTACAAATTTAATACAAAAATGCAATTGCACTAGGAATGTTACATCAGAGTCGTCAGTGCTGCTTAATTGTATCAGCATCTTGACAAGCTTCTCCAGTCGAGTCCATGTAGAACTTTGCGGTTATCTTTTTCGACGGGCCTTTTGAGTGCATTTTCCCATTGCCTATCGCATCTATATAAGGAGGTAATTTTCTTATCTTCCTTTTGCAATAAAAAAATAAGGTCGTAAGTTGACCTTTTGCATGGAGGCCCTCAATTATTCTCCGGCGTGAAGCAGTATTTAGAGATAGTCAAGTTCTGTGCGATGTAACGGATGAAAGGATAACGCGTACAAGAGCCAGCAGGGTCGGCTGTCCCGCTGAAAGATTTACGACCTTCCTTAGGAGCCTTTTCCCGTGTTCTCTTTCAATGTCCTACGCTTTACCGCTCATACATGGCCCTATAAAATCCGGCCGCCTTCGTTTTATTCCTTATCCTGTACGAAAGTGGAACATTTTCTCTTCGCGGGTAATTAACTCGAAACGCGACTCCGTTGTCGAAAGCGGCGGTTTCCAGAAGTTTGAGCGAGCATCCGGATTATGTCGCGCGCGCCGTAATTTCGTTTGGTTTGTCTCTTTGTTTTCGCAAACACCGCATCTTTCGGTGCTCGGCGTCCCTCGGGATGCCTTTGCAGCGAAGTTACGCGGGTGGCGCGGTCTTGCACGTCACCACGAGCGATTCGAAAACTCTCGATATCTCCTCCCCCACGCCCGCCCGCGGAGGTAGAAGGTTTTTAGTCCGGACAATTAATTTGAATTGCAAGTTTCGTTAAAGAACAACGGCGACGCGCCGGTCTCCGAGAGTTCGAAAGAAAGTCCGAGCGTAACGTCGTCCGCTTTCGTTAGTAATTCCATTGTTTCCCTCGAGTAACTCGCGCACTCGCAACGCCACTCCGGGCAGACGTTGGGCATTGTTTCGGGACACGTCGCGCACGGCCCGCGCGATTTCTTCGCCCCCGACTAATGGAATTCCCGAGGCTGGAATTCTCGGATTTCATAACGCTGGCGGACACACGTCCGAGCGACAGCGTTTGCAACGGCGAATCGCCGCCCGCCCGACCTTCGGCCGCGATTTAACTGCGCTTTTGTGCAACACGTTCGCACGTGGGCGCGGCGACGAAAATGCATGGGGAGGTAACGAAACCGGGGAGAGTACCGATTACACTACGCCCGCCCCTCACCACTCGCGCGAATTCATGTCAGCCTTACCCGCGAAATTCCACCGTGTAATCTCTCTCGTCCGATCCCACGCTACCGGTGGAAATTTAAATTTCAACATTTCCATCCGGTGACCTTTGGTCTCGCCCCCGTCTCCACCCCCTTTCTCGCTTTACTTCCTTTCGAATAATTAAATCCACCAGTCGGGAGAAATTGACATATTGTCCGAATAACCGACCGTTTTCCCTAACATTGGTCCCTGAGCGTGCGAAACCTCGGGCCTATCATTGGTGAAATATACTCGCTTATTATTTAAAAGCTATTACAGCCTCGACATTTTTTGTATTAGAATTTCCGTCTTAAAATTTTCTAAAGAATCTGCGATTAAAAGGATATCCGGTGGTTCTAGTGCACCTTGTATAGAGGAGAGTCCTATATTATGCGAAGGCTCCTAATATGAGACAGCGTAGTTTCTGCTAAATTAATAGACAGTCATCTGTTGGTCCCACCATAGTGTAAATAGTCCATTCTCTGTTGGCCCCTTTGATCTTTGCGGTCCCGACCACGTAGTATTCCGCCATGCACTCGGGCAGGATCCAGTGACGTGTGTGTGTGTGTGTATTCGTATTCATCAAAGCCACACCACCACACATACAACTTTTCTCTCATTGGTCTACCCAGAACAATGCCGGATGCGCAGAAGGGATTGGCGCAAAGCGAAACAAACGACGGAGTGGACCCACTAGTTATACTATACTGTGGCTCCACCATGAATTTGTTGCCCTTGGAGCGAAATCTGTTCAGTGGAAAATTGATTGTTAGATCGTTGCGAAAAGCAATTTATGATTGAGTTTGGACGTTGAACACCTGCTGTCTCATATCTGTTAACGGAGGACTTTCCTCCATGTTTTGCGGAAACGTTAATTTATTTTCGCAAGCAGGTGCGCTGAATAAACGATTAACTTCTCCTGCGTGATCGACTGTGCGCCGATTATTTAAGCAACGTCGTCCCAATCTCGCTCTCTCGGAGCTCATAGAAAATTCATAAGCGCGTCGAGCAGAGAGGTGAAATATGTAAACGCTTTAATGTCCCGTTCAAAAAGCGACACTTAGAAATCTGACCGAGAGCGAAGGCGGGGGTCGCGCGATGATAGCTGCGAAAGCGACGAACGCGAACAATCGGCTATTTTTGTCGATTTGTCCAATTAGTCACCTTACACGCGCCCTCGTAATCGGCGTCGTTACTCAATGAAACGGTAATACGCCGACGCGAGCATATCATCCCACAATGCTACGAACGGGGTAAATATTACGGTACGACAAAAGCGCTATGACATTTACCTAAAGGGCCGCGCAGCTCGGAACGCGCAACTCGATTTTCCATCTCGTGTTTCCGTTAGGTATCTTAGTTTCGCTTTATCCGCTTGATCGTATTTCGGTGTCCGATCGGTCTCCGTCGCGGCCGATGCACTCTGTCGTACGCGATGAAAAACCGGATCTCTCTTTTTTCCCCCACAGGTTTTCACCGGCGCGGCGACGTGTTTCTACGCCTTCATTGGCTTCGACATAATAGCCACCACCGGCGAGGAGGCGACGAATCCGAAGAGGAGTATCCCCCTCGCCATTGTCACGTCGTTGATCATAATTCTCGTCGCTTACGTCACCAGCAGCATGGTCTTGACACTGATCGGTGAGTAGACCATTAAACAACGGCCGTCGATCATTTGTTGGCTCTTCATTAATGAGAATGCGCGCCTAATCACGCCTCGTACGTCGCGGCAGCCACGGACGGAGCGTGCTCGCGCGCTTTTCGACTTCGTCGCCGCGTTTTCGCGTCTAAAATTCGAGTAACTGTCGATGCGAGACGCGCCGGAGGGCGGAGAGCGCAAGCCCTCGGGGCTACGTGCCCCGGTTTGATCGCTATCGGCGACTATCGAGAGCCGCTTTTCTATCTCGTGGCGGGATCGATTTTATCGCGGCTCCAAACTGTGACGGTGCTCGGCGAAGTAACGGAGAGTAAAATTATTATGAAACTTGCTCGCAAATGAGAGTTGTTGAAACTTTGTCGTTATTACGACTATTGTATCAGGTATATTATTGTTGCGCCTCGTGTGAGATTCGTTACCGCTGGCATATTGATGGCCGGGTGAAACTCGCAGAGTTTACTCGAATTTGCGAATTTGGGGCGACGGTGTCGCACGCGGGACGGAAGGGGCCGCCGTTGCAGTGTTCCCAGCACGTACTCGCGTACCTCGTGTTTCAGTTCCGTACGATCAGGTCGATCAGGACTCGGCGCTGGTGGAGATGTTCGGCCAAGTCGGGGCCTACAAGTGCAAGTACATCGTCGCGGTCGGTGCGCTGGCGGGCCTGACGGTCTCCATGTTCGGCAGCATGTTTCCGATGCCTAGAATAGTCTACGCGATGGCACAGGATGGCCTTATATTTCGGTAATGATCAAGACGCAGGGTAACGCCGAACGTTGAAACGCCGGCGATGAGGGGAGATTTGTTAAGAAACGGGCTGCGAACAGACGCGGAAGGCGCGACTTCCGGATTTTAGGGTTTAACGCGCACCTTTCGCTTCCGCAGGAGCCTCAGCCAAGTTTGGCCGGCGACTGGCACTCCCGCGATTGCGACTCTAACTTCCGGCATATGTGCCGCTTTCGCCGCGCTGCTGATCCAGCTGGAGGTGTTGGTGGAAATGATGTCGATCGGTAAGACGTCGTCCAGAATGATTTCTGGTATAGCTTATCGCAAAGCGAATCCTGGAGACGAGTGGAGCGAATACGCAGGTCCTTTGTCGTGCTTGATTATTTCTCAGAAAAAGTTCATTATTATTATTGCCGTCGCCTCCGCGAATAAATTAATAAATATCTTTCAATAATTGAAATGCAATGTTTAGAAGATCGCACTTTTTTTATTGATACTTAATAATTAATATAGTAATAAAGTATTTCTAATCACGAGACTATTCTGAAAGATATACAGCCTCGGCCAAAAGTATCGCGCCGATTCGGGTTGTCGTTATCGCGATGAATTTCTTTAATTAGAATTTGCCAGTTGCGTCGATTATTAATTCCCTACGTTGGTGAACTCTTTGTCGGCAATAAGTCTTCGTTCTTGTAAAATTCCGATGTTGGAGTAAACTTGACTTCTCGCGCGCGCGAGGCTTACAACTCGGTTTCCGAGCGTCCTGTTACCGCGGACTGTATTTCGCGCTCGCCAAGTATTAAAACCACACTGTCGCACGAATTTAATTACAATGAAATAGCGCGGTAAATTCTGGAGATAGCCACATTGGGGTTCCCGTTGGCGATTTAATACTGCAGGTACCCTGTTGGCGTACACCCTGGTGTCCACGTGCGTGCTGATATTGCGGTACCAGCCGCACTCGACGAATCTGGTCGAATTGCTGCCGCAGAGCTTGCGGACGCCGTGTCGATCGCCCACGAAGGAGACGCAGGGGAACGGCCAAGTGACTTACGGCAAGGAGCTTAGGCCCGATCAGCTTGCGACCGCGTTGAACTCGGTACAGACGTCCCAGTCGGAGCTTACGACCACCAACAACGGGCAGCGTATCACGGTGAGACGTGCTCGCGTCAGAAAGCGATGGAACAGCCCTCGTCGTTCGCGTCCCCCATCGCCGCGTAATTGAAGAAACTTCTTTTGTCACGGCGAGCAAACGAGATTTCTTCCCCTTGATTTCTTCAGTCCCACGTTTTTCGTCTACGTACAGCTCCGTTTCGGCGGGTCTTTGCCGAACGAGCCTCTGCGCCCGACGTTCCCCTCGAGTTAAGTCATTTCCGAACATTTATTTGTCTCAGATTGTCGTTTTTAAGAATTTCTTGCGATACATTCTCTCTTTCTACCTTCTCGAACTTTTTCCCCTGATATTTTCGACTCGGTAAGAAACTTTTTATCAGCCAAGAGTAAGGATTTATTTATACCTCTTTTGCCATAAAAATTTTCGAGATAACGGCATTCCAATCTTTTCCTCCTTTCACGGAGTTTCTACCCCGTCGCTACGTCGACGAACGAAATTGGATCAACCGCGTAGCGGGCTGCGGGAATGGACCAAGACGAGATTGCGCAATTTTGAAATTAGTGTTCGCGGCGTTCCAGGTGCGGCGGGTGAGGAGGTGCAACAGCTCGTCGCCGGACTCGGACGACACGTACGGCGGCGAGGAGGACGAGGTGGGATTGGGTAAGGACGATCAGTATCTCGTCAGCGACAGAACGGAGAACAAATTCTACGGCAGCGTGCACGCGGCCGCGGCCGCCTCGAGTTGCGGTAGCGCTCATCAGTATCCCGGAAACACGCCGATCATAGGGCCACCTTTGAATTATCTACAGCGTCGGCTGCAGGTAGCGATCAGTAATCGAAAAGCGACGGCTCGGTGGAATAAGGCCACCATCCTGGTCGTAATATTATATATTCGACAATTGGACAGGATCCTGTCCGTTGTTATTTGTCTAATGTCGCAGAAAAAGAATAAGTCAAATCAACTCTTGTATACTCAGATTCACGTGTTCATTGTTTTGCATACACACAACAATCTATAGTCTTCTTGAAAGCATTTCGTAATCTTGCAGTCTTATTTAAATACTACAACTGTGACTTCAAGGCTACTTATAATTATTTTGGCAATAGAATCATTGTTACGGATCCGTCCCTCTGTCGAGTTGTGTTATTCAGTCCTCTTTATGGCTGGGAGCGTATGGAGACTCACTGATACTAGCACAGATAGAATGACTCTGAAGTCACATGGTGTGCTGATTTCCTAAGTTTATGGTTTATTCGGTTTAAACGAGTTTCACTGAAGAAAACCCGAAGAAGGGTCGAAACGTTTGTTTCTTATTAAAGAGAAGTTTCTTGTTAAAGAGAGCTGAGTTCTGTTCATTTTGTGGCTCGCATTGGCACTTTCCCCTTTCTACGTAAAATCATTTTAATCATTAATCTTCGATTTGAAAATGTGTTATTTTCTATCCAGTATTGTTTCTTTTCGACTCCAGAAAATTATTCTTAAATAAGACGCATATATTTTTCTTGGGAAATTAAGCATATTTTTTTATGTACGAATGACGTTTTGGCACACGAACGTCTTCACTTCGCCAGATCAATGCGACAAAGGGAGAATCAGAACTACTTTGGAAATGCTAGATTTTTTCGAAGCCAAATTTACTCGATAGAAATTTAAAAAGTTTCTGTATTCTACTTTTAGAATGTAATCGATAAAGTTTGAATACATTCTTTTCTACGGTCTAAAGTTTCTGATGCATTCGGTCAATTGAAGTTCGAATAGCAGACAAAAGTTTTGTGATTATACTATTGTATCATCGGACGAATATCGTCCTAATTTTTATATGTAAGAAATTACACGTAACATGTTTCTCAGCTGCGATTATTACGAAATTTAAAATCATGACATTTCGTAGGCGGCGCAATACCTTTGTCCCGCTATATTCCCGTGGGTGGACAGAGGTCCTGCGACAGAGGCGTCAGGACGCTACGTCATGAAGCTCGTTGGGATCTTATATTTATTGATCCTTATTTTTGACTTGATTATCGTCTGTGGGATGGGTGAGGAGTTTACGCCGTTTTTTTTAAATGTATTAACTTGTACAGTTATTTGTGAAATTGATCAAACTTTCCATAAGATATTTTAATGCAACAAGGAGGAAGGTGGAAAAGAGCGCATGCGTAATAAATGTTTAACTCGTACAATATTGAAAGGATATGGAAACACCAAGTTCGAGATTACGTTGAGACAACTTTTTCTTCACTTGATTAATTTCACGAGTCGCTGTAAAATCTCGCTCGATAGATTTCACATCTCTTTTCTTTCAGGTAACATGGGAACATTTACAACGATACTACTATTCTTATTTCTCTTTGCCATAATCGGTATACTTCTCGTCATCAGTAGAAAGCCGCAAAATAGGTAGGATTATTCGATCGCAATCCGCAATCTCGCCTTAATTCGCAAACTGCGAAGCACCGTGAAATGGCTTAACGATCTACGTGCTAACTGCCCCCTATTTCCCTTTTTGTTTCAGGAGCAGCGTGATGTTCATGACTCCAGGCTTACCTTTCGTCCCCGCGATCGCCGTTACCGTCAACATTTATCTCATCTTCAAGCTCAGCATTCTCACCCTGGTCAGGTTCACGGTCTGGATGATTCTCGGTACAAACTTATATATTCACGTTAAAGTTTAACATACAAACTATCCACGAGCGGAGATATTCGCGAACAAACAAGCGCGATCTGACTTGATTGTACACGGAGAGAATTTTCCCTTAAAATTGATCCCGAGAATCATGTAATCGTGGGATGACGTGGCATTTCGAAGAATTTTGTAAGTTTCATTAGTAAAATGTATGGTAAAATGTTCCACAAACTCTCATAAAGTTGTTCAAAATGCCATGTTGTCCTATGAGTTTTAGGGTAAATTTTTAAGGAAAATTCTCTCCGTGTAGTCATTACCTTCATTCTGCCTGATTTAAGTGAAACGCTAACATTTGTACTATTCTGGCTCCTTCCTGCGAATCTCACGATCAGTGACTGAAACACTGCCCCTTGTGTCTGCCATCAGGTTTCATCATGTACTTCCAGTACGGTATCAAGAACAGTAGCCTGGAGGAGGCGAACGCGTCGGAGAACGTCGACGACATCGTCGTCGGTGGCGGCACGGCCGGCAACATCGAGCTGACCGTGACCGATCACCACCAGCGGCAGCAGCAGAAGCCGTACACGCCGGACCGCAGCATCTACGAGGGCCAGCAGCTGGACGCGTTCGGCCAGCCGGTGTTCGGCAGCACGAACTTCGGCGGCACGCCGAACCAGCAGCAGCACATCAGCATCGGCGGTCATCAGCAGCAGAGACAAGCGGGGACGGCGGGGAGCGGCCGCCGCATCGACCAAACCGCGTCAACGGGCAAGAACCTGTTCATCGATCAGGATAGCTTCCCCTCCTGGGACGATTGAGGAGCACCGCGCGCGGTACCGAGAACGGATATTAATGTATACTTAACACACGAATAGAGAGGGGAAGAGAGATATTATTACTACTACAAACACCTGGCAACACGTTTGCGCGCGCGCGTGCCACTGGTATCGGATCAGTACCGGTGAAATCAGACTCCTCGGAGATCGCGGCGGTTTTGAGTTCGAACCTGGAGGAGAGGGTCCTATCGAACGCGCGCGACGAGCTGGCGAACCGTTATCGAGAGTTCAACGCGCTCGAAAGGATTATTTTGAGAAACGTTCGGCAGACATTAAATTCGTGTGAAAGGAATAAGTTGAACTGCGGTTGAGATTTATCGCTGATCCTTTAGACTTCTATCAGGCTCCCTTTGTAATTTTTCTTGACATGGGAACTCGCTTCAGAATCAGCGTTAATGTTTTTTGTAACTGCACTCCTTCCTTTGGGGGCAAGTTTATTGTTCTTTTACATTTCTCACCTCCGAGTTTTAATTTTACGAGAGTTTGTGCTCGTCGATACGGTTATAAGCCGACTATAAGGAATAAGTCGGTCGCTTTGAAGATGCCGTTGACGCTCGATCGTCCGCTCGAAAGTTTCATCTCTCCTTACGAAGTATGCGCGATGGAGATCGTCGGGGAGAGATTTTGGTTGGTAAACGCGTGAACGGGAAGACCAAGAACCGCGGTACTCCGAGGGTCGGACTTGTTGACTATTTGGGACGAATGTAGCAAATAATTTTGCGGCAATATTTATTATCCTAATTGTATAGTACCGTCGTTGACGAGGTCGCAGGCGAAAAAAGGGTTAAGGGGTGGAAACGGGACAACGGGTCGAGATAGCAAGGGTTGCCGGGAGGACGAAAGGAAAGGGGGGGGGGGGAGCGCAGGGAGAAAGATGAAGAGACCATTATCATTATTAGTATAAGGCGAAACTTGTGTTTTCCAAGAGAGCGTTCTAACTGCTAATATAAGTTCAAATTTATCGCTAGTCCGCGAATGGGAAGCGAGTGAGAATGAGGTGTGTCGTCGGAGCGAGAGGACGAATGAAAAATAAGAGGGAGAATGGGAAAGAAAGTGGGCGAGAAAGCGAAGACAAAGTAGGAGAAAGAGCGAGGCGTGCCTGAGAGAATAATGAATAAGAAAACAGTATGTGAAAGCGAGAGAGAGAGAGAGAGAGAGAGAGAGAGAGAGAGAGAGAGAGAGAGAGAGAGAGAGAGAGAGAGAGAGAGAGAAAGAGAGAGAGAGAATCCGTAGAAGAGAACACTTTAATGAAAAAACGGAAAAAGCAAGAAAAACGTCATCTTTTGCCTAACTTTAGTCTTTCCCAAAAAGAAGAAAAAAAGAAGTTTAGTCTAACATATTATATAATCGTATATCTAAGCTTACTACAATACTTACATACGTCTTACCTCGAGTAAACCCTTTGATTATTAATTTATACGCAATTTGTATAAATTATCTAGGATTTAAGCGCGCGTCGCCTCCCAACGAAGGATTGCGAGAGCGAGTACGATTAATTGAGCTCGCCGCAGAAAGATTAGATATATCGAGAAGAATCGGGCGGGGGGGGGGGGGTGTACTGTTGAAAACTTGCGAAAAATTTCGATCTCCGTCAATCGGCATCCACATTTCCCCTCGGCTCTGTTTATTTCATGGATTAGAAAATCCAATGTCTCGCTGGGAATCGAGATACGGGCTAAATTTCGAAGGAGGGAGAACAGAAGCTACAGACGGTTGAGTTTCGGGGGAACGAGCTCTCCTCGCGATCGACTTTACGATTCGTCCAATTTCTTGGCGGGATTAAGAGATCGATGGTAGAGACGGGAGACGACGCGAGATAAGATTTCGTTTTCGTGTACATATCTTCGGTGTTTCGAGACAAACCGTTTCTCCGTACGTACGTGCACAAGTCCATTGTGCTTCTCTGTCCGCTAGTGTGTTCCGCGCGATGAATCGAGGATAGCCCTCGATGCTCCCGAGTAATTACGGTCGGGGGGATGCGCGACCGCGTGTCTCCGATACGAGCGTATGTATCGCTGCCCGAGCATTCGCGATTACTTATTCACACCGCGAGCGGAGCCCCAATTACCCCCCGGATCGAGATAATTCAAGAAGACAACCCGGGGGTACGTGTGTCTGCACACCGAGGTGTGATCCTCGCTTTAATCTCTCGACTATTCCCTTTGTTAACACCCATCGCGTTATTAATTCCGAGAGATCAATCGCGATGATCGACCGGCGCAAAGTAGTCTGCGAAGTATCAGCAAGCAGCGGGCGGGTAGCAAGGAGGAGACGCGAGACGCGACACGCGACCGCGATAAAACGCGGAAAGTCATAACGCGGAATGCTTATCGATTGCGCATTGCGGAACAATCAAGTAAATGCGGCCAGAAGCCGCGCTGGAAATTTATCGCGAGACTCGAGGCGGAATATACTTTGACACGCCGTAGCTTTCGTTACTTCGAGTTTCGGCTTTCTTTTCTTTCACAGAGAAACGTATCTAGAGCCGCGCGGCCAGGTGTCCTCGCGTTTCGCTGGTAACGGAGACACGCGTCGTGCATACTATTCGACATTCGATCGTGCATCTTCCAGGCGAGCGTCTACGCGTCGCGACGCGTCGCTCGCTCGAGCGTCGGGCAAGGTCGTTGGCAGGTACGACGACCGCCTGCCCGCGATCGCTTTTCGCGAAACATTTCTTCTCGTGTCTGTATTTACTTTCGTCCAGCTGCTCCGCCACTTTTACTACTTCGTTAGGATCGTCCGCATTTCCGTGTGCGGAAAATCGTCCCGCGGCTCTCGAGACGGCCAACATTCCGCGTCCCTTTCCCACGTGAACGGCGAATTCGACGACGAGGCGACGACAGGGGAGGCTCGGGGTGGCGATCGGCAAGCTACGCTTCGAACAAAATTGTCTCGGCCGCGTTACCGATAATTACATCGTGATTATTAAGAAACGATCGTTCAACGTTTAAGCAAGAAAAGAGCGAGCGGCATTTCTTGGGGGGGGGGGGAAAAAATGAAAACTTCTAACGTAAGCACGCGCGTGGCATTTCATGAATTTTTCCAGTTTTTATTGTACTAATTGACGTCTATTGTAACTTGTACATACATCTCATTTATATATACTTGTTAAGAGCGAGCTTGTTCGAAAAGCTGATCGTTTACTCTGATTCCCCCTTAGTTTTGTCGCGCACACGGGGTCTCTCGGCGGAACCGGTGGGATCCTGATTAATCTCGCGAGGAAAGAGGAAAAAAGAATATATATATATATATACATATATCTATATATACACATATATACACATATACTCTCTGTGATCGAAACACTGTACATCTCTAACGACGACGATAAGCGTCGATCGTTTCGCGTTCCAAGCGTAAAATTGATTCGAGGATCGAAAGGGGAGATACTCGACACGCTACAGGGGCAGGTCGAGAGAGCTTGGTTCTCGCTTTTTATTCTCTACATATCGAGCGTGGTGATCCTTTCACACATATCAGTCCTGCACACATTCGCGGCGCGCGACAGTCGCGGAAGCGTCGCGTGATCGGCAAAGTTTAGCCTACGCCGCCGCGCGTACGTCGCGTACCGCGGAATTCGTGCCGGTACTTTATACGTAGACTACGTTTCTACACACGAGACTGTTCGATTTTTTAGGCGATACATATCAGGGAGGTCGCAAAATTCGCGTCTACGCTCGCGGTCACGATATTAATTAACACGGGGTCTAATATGAAAAAAGAAAAAGTAAACCGTACCTTTCCATCTCGCTCTTCGTCTAAATTCGACCGAGGCTCCGGAGTCGACGGGCTAAACTTTTCAGTGAAATTTTGACCTAATTAAGTGGAGTTTTTAAACGCGAGTTAAATATTAAAATATTCAATACTCGAGAATCGCGGCAAAGTCGCGTCCAAAGTTAAGAGCTACGTTAAGAGAAAATTACATTGGCCGTACGCGTTCCGGTTGAGTTTTGCTGGACGGAGCGCAGGCGCGAATTTCGCTTTTGCAATGCGATTTGCAATTGTTCCTTTTCTTCTTGTCTTGATCCTCTACCCCTGTAATAATGTCGCGGATATCTTAGGGAGCTGCGCTTTTAATTGCACCGAGCTGAGCGTCACCGTGAAATGTCCCGCGGAGATTTGGATCGGAAATCTTGCGCGATTTAAGGTTCAATATATTTACTCTTCTGAAACGAGGCACAAAGTTTGGCCGCTATGTACATAGTATGTGTACATATTGTACAATGTATCGAAAAAAATACCGCCGAAGCCCGTATCGGACTACGGATGGAGATAGAGATTAGATTGAAATTCGACCATTCAGAGTAAAGTTTACTATCTCAGGTTTAGCGACTTTACTCTAATTGGTCGAATTTCCATCTAATCTCAATCTCAATCCGTAGTCCGATGCGGGCTTGGGCAACTTCGGGAACATCCGACGTCGGAAAAGACGCGCTTTTGAAAATTAGCGATCGAGGCAAATCCGCGGGTCTTTCGTCGGTGACGTTACCCACGTTGCGATCTGTGAGCGAAATCGCTCCTCGGATATCCGTTCTGTCTGCCGTAGAATCGCGCCATCGCGTTCCTCGGCGGACGGGAGTTTACTCTGTGAAAAAGAACAGTGCCTGTACACATCTCTCCAGACGTTAGACGAGACGTTAGAGATCCCTTCCTTGAAACGGACAAAAATACATGGCGGTTGAAAGGGCGAGGCTGACGAAGGGGCTGTGTCGCACTTTTACACTTATTTAATTCCTCAATTTATTACTTAGTTTAATTCCTCAAACAATAACTTTCGTTTAATTTATTTAAATCTCGCCGAAAGGGAATTCGCGAGCCTGCGAAAATTGCAATCCGAAGGGCACAAGCGCGAGAATATCGAGCGGTTGTTTTGTCGTCGTGAGTAAATAACAGCCTCCTTCCGAGTCTATTCGATCGAATTTTTACGTAACGTTAAAACGGCGGACGACACAGCTTCCTCGTACTCTTCCTGTCAAATCAAGTATGCCACCCATGCGAAAATTATTGTTAGCAGGCAGAACCATTGAGACTGCGTGTCTCGATGTGTCTCGGGAGGATAGGACTATATGCGAGGCTGATAGCAGAACGACGAGGAGGACGCGGCGTTTTACTCTTTGCCCTTTTAGTTAGTCTTTCGTACTCTTAGATAGGAGGAAATGGCCTATTGCACAAGGTGGCGGGACGACGTCGGTCGAGGTACAAGCCGCAAACTGAGACTCGAGTGGCCGGTGACGTGGCCCCTGGCCCCTTAAGGGCGGAAGGGCGGAAGCGGCCGGAGCCGGCGTGAACGCCCGAGGAACTCGGGATGTCCGTCGAACAACTTTACCGGACGTTTAATTTGAGGCTTCGTATCGAGATCGGCGGTTCCCGCGCAGATGTCACGTGTGTACCTTTGAAGTCGCAGTAACTCGCTGCGGAATACCTTGAGAGTTTCGACGGCTGTAAGTTGAAAGTATTAGCTCCCGCCAGGAGGCACGACGCGGAGGAATATCGCACTTTCAGTCGAGGGAAAGTGACAGCTGCGCCGTTTGTCTCTGTTACTTTTCGTTTTCTTTCCCCCCTCCCCCCCCCCTTTTTGGGAGAGCCGATCTCCAAACGTTGGCACGGGGCGAGGGAGCAACGTGAACGGGGGTGGGCGCCGTCGTTGCGCACACATACCTGGCAATAATGAGCAATTTAAGTAATCATTTAATTCCCCCTCTGAACGCGATTTGAACGAAAAATCGTCTTGTGATACTCGCGATAATTCTTCTTCTTCTTCTCTTCCGTTGGAAGTGCGATATGTAACGGTAGAATAAGCGAGCGGCAACTGACAAGCAATTCCGATTATAATTGCGAGCGCGCGTGCTCGCGTAAACGTACGAATGTAAGGCCAGCGGAGACAAACGTTCTCCGTAAAAGTGACGCACCGAGAATGACAGGGATCCAAGAGCCACTTATCTTGTAACGCAATTGATTTAGCGGGACGCAATGTAGTAATACAGTTCTATACGGGGATGTTGAGCATGTACGCGGCACCGCGACGTGCGGTGCGTAAATGGATTTATTTTCTATTTCCTCTTCTCTCTAAAGATCCGTTCTGCGAAAATGCAAGGATACTGTGTGTATCGGTGTCCTCGTCATTCTACAAGCGCGCAAACGCAAGTGTCTCGTGTGTGCGCAACGGTACGGTACGCGACAGCGTCGACGGAATTTGTCCCGGGAGGCCGCATTGTTAAATATCTCCGACGTGGATACACGGCGAGCGGGCGCGTTGCGGAAAGCGGGCGATATTAATATTAAATTAACTGGTAGCGATTTCAATCTCCTACGTAAGCAATCTCGCGGCGTGCAAACAATGCGCCCCGCACGATTCCACGTCGCTCTTAAACGCGCGGCTCCACGTCGCGGGCTTGCGCGAGCGCATCGTTCCTGCGTTATCGCGCGAACGGACGCGCGAGTGATCCCGGGGTGGGGGGGGGGGAAGGGAGGGACCCGAGAGATGACGAGTTCTCGGGGAAGGAAGCCGCACCGGCGACGCGCAACATACGTCGTCCGAGAAATGGAAATGCAAGAGCGTCCTTCGGCGTCGAAAGTCCCGCGAAAGAACGCCATTTTTCTCGTTTGCCGGGGAAGAACCAGATATTTAAAAAAAAGAGAGAGAATCTTGTCATTAATAGAAGCAGAGAAAAAGAAAGAGAGAAAGGGAGGGAGAGAAAGAGAGAGAGAAAGGGAAAGAAAATAAAAAGAAGAGTATGAGAGAGAGAGAGAGAGGGAGAGAAAGAACGAGAGTGAATGATGCATGTGCGTGACGATATACTTTTTTTCTCTCGGGACGGTCGGGTGGCGGGCACTCGAGGTATCTCGGGAAGATATATGCGCACGAGAAGGACAGAATTTTCCATGTAATATATATACCCTTACGTAACTATATACGTTGTTTAATATTGATAAGGATCAAAAATAAAAGTGATTATTCAAAAGCTAAAAGCGGGTGGGTACGATGTCATTCATTATTTCCCAGACGTGAGCGTACACGAAGCAGCATATCTCCGATAATCCTCGTTGTCATTAATACAGATTATCGTCCGTCTGAATCGAGCGCGCATTTGCATAATTTCTATCCTCTCTCCCTGCTATTTCTCTCCTCGTATTTCTTTTTTTTTTTTTGTTGTTGTTGCCAACTTATTGCGTGACATATTATTCCGATGCTTTCGTGCATTTCCTCGCCGCGTATAGTAATAAATATGTAACTGCGGCATTAATGGATATAAAATTAGAAGTTATAGGAAAACAACGGCTAACGTGGGATAAACGCAAGATTAGATAAGCGTGATAAAAACAAACTTCGATAAACACAGCGGAGAGGCAAGTAGTGTCGGTCTACGCGATGCTAAGGCAAACAAACTATTTTTAATCTCGCAGCGTGGAAAACCGCGAAAGGATTATACAATATTTCGGTGTCTTGGAAAGTTCGATCTCTGCCCGATAGCTTCAACGTAAAATGCATGGAGAGCCAATTCGCGTTTAGAAAAATATTTAATACAGTCATTTTTTTCTGAATACAACGTACTTCGATGTCTATTGATCCTTTAGATCGAATGGAGAGCAAGAAAGAAGCAATAGAGCGAACAGGGAGCGAAGTAGTAGCAGTCGCTCGTTGTCAGACAATCCGCGCGGCGCAGCCAGTAGTTACCGATTGTCATTAAACAGACGACGTTTCTGAAGCTTACTTTTTAAATGTAATGTATTGTCTATAAGAAATTTACACAATATCTGCAATCCGCGTCAGATTTCTATTCTGAAATCCGGTTTATTTACAATTTTGTTTATTTTATTTCATTTACAACCTTTTGTGCGCTTTGCATGGCATATTTTTATATTTATTTTGTATTTTGATTCTTAAATTTCGTTTTTTTTTTCATATTATAGGACTCATAAAATTATAATTGTAATATAATTATCGATTATACAAAATGGGTGTAACATTAAGCTCGTCGAACGATCGAACATCGATCTCCATCCTTTGTTGACCAATCAATTTCGCTACGTAATCTCAATCGTAATCCAAACTCGAGCGTGTGGAAATTCCGTGGAAATTCCTGACTCATCGAATCTAACGCATCGTTGCGCGTTGCAACACGCGGAATTATCGCGCAGTGACACGCGAAATATTCGGGGAATCGCCGTGAGTATTTTGACGTGATGCAATCAGACGTTGGCCGCGCGCGTCGCACGAGGTAAAAGCCCACTAGACGTCCACCTTCCACATTCGAGGCGACTCGTTCTCGTCGGCACGAGGAAAATGTCAAGGCTCCATTCCGCGGAGCTCGGAGCGAGATGCTCCTCTCCTCCGGTGCAAACATCTGTGTTTTTCGTCTCTTCGAGCGGTTCCAAGCGGGAACGAAAGAGAAACCAAGAGAATGTTTAGAAGAGATTTGATTGTGTCTCTTTGAGAAAAAGAAAACTTTATTTAGGTTCTCCTTCAGAAATAAAAGAGAAGCGATAGACGAATTCTCAATTAAATTACGAAGATTACGCCCTCAGAAAGGATTTCTGTTACCGAGACAAAACATACACTGAGAAAAAAATTTTCTTAATTTTAGAAAATATATTTACTAAAATTAGATTTACTTGATTTAAATAAATAATGTTTAAAATGAAAAATTTTTCTCTTTATTATAATAAATCAAAACATTAAAATTAAAAAATGATTTCTTATTGAAACATTTGTTTAAATCTAATTCAGATTTGCTACATTACAGTACAGTACTTGTTGAAATGTAGTAAAGAATTTTTTTTAATGTAGAATCTTGATATTTTAATTTTATAAAAACCATTTTAGTACATATTTCTTTAAATTCAGTTTTTTTTGCCAGGCGCTTATGAAGTTTGGTGCTGCCACTAGATGGCCGCCGAACTCGTAAGTAAAATCGTGGCAGCTAGATGTACATATAAGCGACCGCATCAGCAGACGTAGTTTAATCATTTAATGGTCTATGTTTTATTATGGCTGAACATAGTGTACTAATTCAGTGTTTATCTTTCTTCTTTTAATGAAGGAAAAATTTTAATATCAAATTTGTTTGGATACAACAAAATTTATTAAATCCAAAGAAATCGTTTTCTCTGTGTACTAGAACTTCTTCATTACATTTAACAAAATATTTATTATAATTGATAAACTATTTAATTTATGGAAACGACGATTTTCTTTATATGAGTAAATTAAATTGGAAAAGTAGAAAATAAACATTACAATTTAATAAACATTAACTGCTTTCCATAAAATAGTTTTGATATTTAGTAAACGATTTATTTAATAAAAGAATTATTTTCTATAAATGAACAAATATGATTGCTTATTTTAAGAAAATGCGTTCACAGTTGTATGCAAACACATGGTTTGCTAAAACTAAGGAAATTTTTTTACTATCTAGTAAATTTTTTTCTCAGTGTACCTATTCTTGACGCGTTTATATTTCTCACAACCTCATTTAGTATGAAAATAGGACAATATCACAATAAAATCAATAATTCTTAGTCTCCTCCATCGAATTGAAAAAGATCGACTTACTGTATTGAGACAAGAGTAACTTTATACATTCTTGCGTTTAGAATAAATTTTCCCTCCACCTTACAACGCACGAAGTTGGCATATTCGACAAAAGACGATACATACTACCATTTAACTCTAGACTCTAGAATTTTTCATTTAAGATTGAAATATTCCTCTCTCTGTAATAAATATGATTGGCGCTATATCGATCCTATTTTACGATGCATTCAAGTGTAATAGCATTGCGTCCGGAAATTTTTTTCTACGGGTGTAGAATTCAATTCTGTTAAAATTGTGCATATCGACTTGTATTTCTTTCGAGTGAAAAGACGCTCGAGGCTGCAACAAAAACGCCGTGTTGGGCGCGAATTATGTATTCGTGTTGCGGCCTCATTGAATTATAACACGCTGACAACAATTCTTTATGTAAATTATATTTACGCACCAATCTGCGCAATTATTGCTGCGTATGAATTATGCAGAGAAGCACGGTATGCCCATAAACGAGCGTCTGAATGCGCCGCGTGTTACCGCGCTGCTCTTTATTGGATGTAAGATCGGCTCGACTTCTCGGCGATTCTCGTTTCGACGAGATGGACAAGGCTGGTTGTGGATGACATTTATCTCCCTTTATCCTGACATTCAAATCCAAGCCGGCTAGCAAGCCTCCGAGTTCCAGGATACTGTAAACAGATATGCAGTATCTGTTGAAGTTACTGTAAATGGAAACGTAGCGGCGTTTAGGGAATCGCGCGAAATAATTTTGCCCGACAATAATTTATCGACGTCGATTCTCTGCCCAACGTAAATTCCAATTTGCGCGTCGGAAAGTATCGCTGACAATTATCAGAATTTAATGTCAGATGAAATCGCGAGCGCGGTGCAATTAATTTCAAATGGCATTGGGACAGATCGATCATTCGTAATTCCGCGCTGTATGCCGAGCCGAGATAGAATCGCGCGGGATGAATGAATGGTTCGTGACGCGGCGACGCGTCGGCTTTTCAGCTGCGACGGGCGTTAAAATCCTCTTACTTTGCGAGGAAGATGCGGCGGGATGATTCTCACCGGCGGACGAGGAGACGCCGACTATCCTCTCCCGCTCTCATCCGCGCGCGAAGATGATAAAAGCACGTCGGACAACAGCGGCGCGTCGTAGTTCTTTCGGGATCGGACCAGAAGGAACGTGAATTTCAACGGCGACCGAGTCCGGGATGGCCTCGAAGCCGATCGTCCATCTGCTGATCGCCTGCGGCGTTCTCGCCGCGGCAACGTGTGAGTAAGAATTTACCCTGCGGTGTCTTCTCGTTCTAGAAAGTGAAATACCGCCGATCGCGACCGAGGATTGGTTTCTGTCATGCTGTGTCGGCTACCAGAAGTGATGTGATCTTTTTGACGGCACAAGTGTCACGTTCCCCCCCGATTCTCTTGCTGTGCAGTAAAGCCCGAAGCTTGCACATACGAAAGAAGAAATTTCAACGAAGCTACCTTATGTAACGTTACGTAATATCACGCGAGTACATAATTACGATACGTAATTCAAACAGCTTAACAAGGCTGGCTAAACTCCGGGACGCTTAGGAAATGTGTGCGCGTTCAATTTTATAAATGCAACGCGGCCTGAATAGTAGTTTACCGCCAAATTACTATACGTATGCTCAGTCACGAGCGCCATTGGTCATTTGTATGCGACGCGCTCGCACGCCGCCGGAGAAATGCATTTTTAAGCTTAAAACTTGTATACACGCGAACATTATAATCTTGCCGTCACAGTTAGACCAATAATGATCGCGCGTTAATAAGATTGCGATGCGATTCACGTGACAATTTAAAGAAGAGCGTTTCTGCCTCTTCGTAGTTTCATTGCGACAGCTCGATCAATGCGCGTCCCAGTGCTTCTCGATCAGAGAAACTCTTTCGACCTTCGGGCGGAAGGACTCGGCGATACGTGGGATTGATGCTCGTCCTCGTCGGCCTAACGACGGATAATCGAGTTTGTAATCAGCGAGAAACTTTCTCTCTCGTTGTTTGCGCTCATTACCTTGCGCAATTTCTGCCCCGCGGAAATGTCTCGGGAAACCTCTTCGGGAACGGCGAGCACAGTCCACCGTTCCTCGGCTTTTCGTATCGTCCTAAAATGTGACATCGAATCGGTTTTTTTTTGGGCCTGCATACGTTTTATCTCGTTAACGTTGCAGGACAGCGTCGTAGAAAATTCCTCGCGCAGCTTATTACGAGATAGGCTCCTAACGTGGGATAGCGGTGTTTCTGCTAAATTAATAGGCGCTGTCTGTTGATTCCACCGTGAATTTATTGCCCTTGGAGTGAAACTTGCACGGGGGTAACCACTGGCTAAAAGGTTGCACCGATTACACGATTTCATTCGACTTCATACGATTTCGTCTGATTACCAATCTCATCTAATTGCAAATCATTTTCTTAAATGCACGCTTAAAAATGTGCAACGTTGTTGAACCCCAAAGAGCTGTTAGATTTCCTCAAAATATACTTTTCTTATTTTACTAATTGCAAGTATTTGCTTGTAGACGTAATTTCAGTTAGGATTGTAGTATTCGGTCGCGTTGTTTCCTCGCTTCCCACTTTTCCCACTAGTCTAACCGTGGTCTTAACGAAAAGTAATTTTGCATTTGCATCTACTGTTTATTGTTCCAAATTTGCGCGCAAAGGTGTATCAGCGTTTCGACTCGCTGTTGTTCCAACAGTAACCACCTCGGTCTTATTATGAGAAGAATACGTGCTTATCGGTATTTGGATATTCACTGGAAGAAGTAAATTTTTGGGGGAAAATGAAAACGAGCCGGGAAGATGTTCAAATTTAATGTTTCTAACAAGTGAAGAAAGTTGAAAATGAAGACAAAACGATTACACGGGGATTTCGTAAGGATTTCATAATGATTTCGGAGACACTGTCCCGCGATTACATCAAGTGGTTACTTGGAGGCTTGTTTAGTGGAAAATTGATCGTTAGATCGTGGGATCGTTTGCGAAAGAAGATTTGTGATTGAGTTTGGGTGTTGAAAGGCTGCTACCTCATATTAGAATCCTGTCTTGTAATAGAGGACTTTCCTCCGTTCTGTGGAAATTCTCGCTGCGATTTTGTTTCATCTCCTGAAAAGTATCCTCGGACCAATCGGCTCCAGTTCGGTACTGCCTGCAAATCGGCTCCAAGCGCGTTGCGTAAGTGATGCGCAGACAACGTTAATGTATGCAACTTCTTCGTAGAGGCCGAGCGCCGGCGACGCCGAACTTTCGCTGCCGCGCGGTAATCGCGCGCGCTGTGCAAATGCGACTTATTAATACTCTCTGGACGGACACGTTTGACGAGTTTTATACTGAATTAAATCGTTGTCTCGGAATCATTCGAATTTAGTAGCACGAATTATGGAAGAGAGGAAAGTTCTCTCAACACTCGGCCTTTTGCCCGCGTACGATCATTGGACGAAAGCATATTAATTGAAGTTATTTCTGTTAAGGCAATTAGCAAAGAAATATCATTTTATACCATTTATTTTAATCGAAACTACAACGTTGGTAGCCAACAGACAGGAATATAAGAGATCAATTCTGCCTTGGAACAAAAAATTTTAATCAAAGGGAAAAGTTTTTTAGAAAAACGATCAGACTGGCAAAAAGGTGATCTTTATTCAAGTCACAACGTTTCGACCTCTTGTTGACTGAAAAATAATTTATACCGACACAGAATGAGTTCACGAGTGTGTGGCAGCAAATTCACAATATCATATCGCTAGTGCTTGAAAAGGACCCGATAAAGAGGTCGAAACGTTGTGACCTAAAGATCACCTTTTTGCCAGTCTGGTCGACTTTAAAAAAAAACGGTCCCTTTGTTTAATTACCACTGGCGACAATAAGCTTCACTCGATTTTTTTTAAATCGATTTACTGCCGTTTCAGCGCTCAATCAAAACAGCAGGTTCTCGAATCATCTGTTTGACAATCAGCTGAATCGTGGTCAGCAACAATTCTCGCCGAAACGTGGCCCATCCGCATCGTGTCCAGAAAGGAACGGCCGTTATCCGGTGCAGAATCAGTGCGACGCTTACGTCGAATGTATTGATGGGGTACCCGAGGAGAAGCTGTGTCCCGAAGGCTTGTTCTTCAACCCCGAAGCGCGCTTCAATTATCCCTGCGGATATCCGATCGACATAGACTGCACGGGCAGGCCGAATTTACGTGGGTATCTTATTGCCAGTGTTTTACGTAGATAAAGTTGAAATCATCTAGATAAAGATAAGATAAGACATATAAAATTTTATCTTAGATAAGATATAGATTATTTAATTCTAGTTTATCTAGATAATAGATGAAATTATAAGCATTTTATCTAGATAATTTCAAGATAACATTGCTTTAAAAAGTAATTAAAGAAAAAATAAAAACAATTATATTTATAAATCTATTAAAAAAGCAGGATTATATTTAATTGGCTTGTAAAAGAACAATGTACAATTACATTTAAAAAATATTGCAATAGTTGTGCACAATGTATTGAGAAAATTTAATTTACATATCAAAAATTACAAATATTCTAATAGATAATGCTACAAATTTTAATGCTAAATCATTTAGATGCTTTAGCATCACATATGAAAATTGTGATCAAAATTGACTCACGTTAGAAGCAAATAAAGATTTGAACAGTATGGAATAGTGTGAATCAGATTCAGATATTGAAACTAATAAATTTGAAATATTAATTTCTTGAAATACTAATAATGTTGTACATGGAAATGATAATTGTTTGTATGAATTTCGGATAAACTAGGAAATGAAATTATTTACCAATGATAAATAATGGGTTAAACCTAGCCATGAAATACTGAGTTCTGCTGAATGCAACCATTATCTTAGATAATTTCAGACAGATAACGTATTTTTAAATCTAAGATAAAGATGTAGATAATACGTTTCATTCTTATCTAGATAAAGATGAGGTAAGGAAACAGCCTTATCTAGATGATCATCTAGATAATTTCATCTAGATAACAGAAAACACTGCTTATTGCAACTTTTTATCAGAAACATATTCCGCCACTTATTGTTAAATTCTAACACGAGACATTAAGTAACTCAATTTATCTCGCGATTTTATCTATTTTAAAGTCGTTGGAGGTTCAGCGAAGAGATTTCGGGGCTAATCAAGCTGACCGCGTCGAGGTGCGATTGAATGACGAAACGTTAAATTTTCCACAGAGCCGGCAAATCCGACCAACGACTGTCCCCATCAATACGGCTACTTCAAGATCGGCGATCATCAACACTGTGGCCAGTTCATGAACTGCGTGGATGGTAGGGGCTACGTGTTCGATTGCCCGGAGGGTCTGGCCTTCAACCCGCAGTCCTATCGATGCGACTGGCCGGACCAAGTGCCGGACTGCGACGCCGAGACCTTTCTGGGTTTCCGCTGCCCAGAGGTGAGGAGCGGTCCCTTCTTGGACGCCGAGATTAAGTTTTACCGCAGCCCTGCCGACTGTCGCCACTATTACATCTGCGTGAACGGCCGTCCAAGACTGCAGAATTGCGGCATTGGAAATGCCTTCAATGACCTCATCGACACCTGCGACGCCGCGGAGAATGTCACCGGCTGGTGAGTGATATTTAAAAAGTCCCTTGTCCTCTGCACAGGATGTACTTTCCCTTTCGCTTGCGTTTATTATTTATACCATATTTAAATGCGTGTATGTAGAGGAAAGTCCACCTGTTAAATTAACAAGCGTTATTGCTTCCGTGACTCTTGAAGTGAAATCTGTTTAGTGGAAAATTTTTTTGGTAATTATGCATAAAAGGGGCCTCCTCTCCGATTTGCTTCATTTTTAAATATGTTGTTGGGGATGTCTTCCCGAGTCATTTCATATATATATATAA